GATCGATCTTGGATGGGTCGATTGGGGCAGCTGTGAACTTCAGAGGGGCGCCGGGTGCTCTAGAGGGGCGCCATCAAGCTTTAATGGGGCGACTGTTCCGTTTAGGTGGGTGCCAGCGGCTCTTCAGGGGCGCCATCGACCCTGGGGGTTCGGAATATTCTGGTTTCCGGAGGGGCGCCCTTCAACATTTGGGGGCTCAGGTCGTATTTGGGGGTGCCCTGGAGATTATTTAGGTGTCCAGGCACCCCCAAAGAGATATTGAGTTCGATCCCTGCCTGCACATCACTTTTTAATTCATGTTCTCTCTGTAAAACGGCATCAGCCTAGTCGGCGCTAATTGGGGCGCCATTTGGGCGGCTGGGCGGAAAGGGGGGGCCATGGCCCCCATGGCCCCCCCCCCCTGTCTACGCCACTGGCAACAATCCCTATGTAAACGCGGTTGTTGTTTCGAGAAATAGGTCACAGGTCAAAGGTCATCTGGGTCAGGGTCATGCAATTTTCAGGGTGGTGTAAAATTGATTAACTCGATGGTACTCAAAGTTTCGTTGTGATCGACCGCTTTTTACGCGAGTTATTTGCGAAAAACCTTAGGGGGGGGGGTGCATCAGCCCTTGTGCCGGCGAGTTAACCCGCGCCCCACTGGGGGGGGGGGCTATTTATAGCCCCCCCTCCCGTTTTTCTGCAATAACTTCCAAACCGCTTGACGTATCAACGCCAAACTTTCAGTACCTTCGGCTGCATCAATTTGACACCTTGTGTCAAAATTTGAACTTCGTACCTACCATAGGTCGGCCGGAAATGACGTCAGAGTGACGTCATGTTCGGCCGATTTCGACGCAAAACATTGAACCACGGCAATCGCTCCCAAGAGCTCAGTTTTTAAGCTAGATCCAATTTCTTTGCATGAGAGGACTCAGAATAGGTTGCGCTATCAAACTGCTATCTCGGATTTTCAAAAATTTTGAAAATTTCGAAAATTGTATATACTAAAATTCAAAATTTATATTTTTACATTTTTTTCAATTTTTTTTTTACTTTTCGAAAAAACCGGAATATATGTGATAGAACGCATTATTATGACTAACTCTAGCAAGTTTTAGCTAAATATCTTTAAAAATGGCCAAGTTATACGCATTATTGCAAAAAATTAACAATTATTAATTTTTCAAATCAATTTTTCAGCACGAATTTGACATCGTACGCCAATATAAATAGCACCATCGTGTTCCTGAGCTCAAACTGCATCCAATAGACACCTTTTTTGTTGAAAAATTATAACTTCAAAATTTGACCTTTTTGACCTGAAAGTGACCTGACCTAAGCTAAATTTGACTCAAAATGACCTCGAATGACACAGACGACATCAAATTAGAAATGTTTGGCCTAAATGGACCATAAAACATGTGTCACGTGACCGACGGATGATATAATATTTTCGTGACCTGTGATGACCTGACCTTGACCTGAAAATCAAAGTACAAGTTTGGTACCCTCAGAGTATCTAGAGCATCTGTTTACGAGTGTGTGAACCAAAAATGAGCCTGATCTGACTTGTAAGCCGGCGGCCAGAGCCCAAAACGTGAAGAAGCCAAAATGCTAATAATTTTTACTTTGACCTGGCCCGTGACGTCATCGGTGACCTCGAGGTCAATGAAATTAGGTTTCGCTCGACAGTTTTTCCGGGGCTATCAGACACCGTTTGAATTTTGACGATCGGCCCAGTAGTTTCGGAGTTAGGAGGGGGGGGGGGGCTATGAATAGCCCCCCCCCCCAGTAGGGCGTGTTATACGCAGACCCCAGTGGGGCGCGGGTTAATATTCGAGGGAAGAGGTCAGTGAATTTTTTTTTTCAGTTTTGTTCATATTCTTGTTGAATTCTGCTAAATTATTCCAAATCTACCCCGACAATGTACCGGTTTTTGTGACCTATTAGGTTACTAGGACTTGAAATCTTCAGGATGTATCAAAATTATGCCCGGTAGAGGATATGTTAAGGTGTTGGTGGGTTACGTGCTGCCGTCTTTCGCGATCTGCGAACAGTTTTAGGGGTTTTGCATCCCTGCTCCCCCCCCCCGGCCGGGTGAAGGATAAAAAGTCGCCGTATAGCGTCACCGGTTACATCCTTAGCGCGACTAATGGGATAAAATGGAATGGTGGGTATCAAGCGTCTGTGACATTTAGCTATTGTTATCGAGAGACTTTAGGAAGATGTTTGTGTCTGACAGACTGGTAGACTGCACGTATTTGTCATGGATGCTCATTTCGAGCGAATTCATAATGACTGCACGTCATTATGGGGCCCTAATGAGTCCCAACAAAGTCGGAACCATGTTACAGTCACACGGAGCTGGGCATCCTCTGTCTCGAATTTCTCGGCTCCGTGTTCTGTTCCCCGTGCGCCCGCGCTCTGTCGGTGCGCTCCCTCACCTGTTTGGCCGTGTGTCGATCGAAGAGGGCTCTGCGCCGCGGCTCCACCACCTCCACAGCCACCTCTTCCTCCTGGTCTTCGCCGCCCTTCATCGCAGGCCGCTCGGACGCCATCGCTGGCCGCTGCCCCAGAACACGCCGCCGCCGCCCACTGCGGGCGCAGCCGACCGACTCAACCCCGCTCCGCGCGCGCCGGCGACGGCGGCCACTGCCAGACACCTGGTAACCGACGACCTGACGTCACCGGCGCTACCGATCGACGCGGTGACGTCACACGTCGACGGGATGACGTCACCGGTGTGGGGTGTGACGTAGGGCGTGGTCGGTGCCTGTCGCCTGAGGGTGGCAGCTGCCGGCCAGGGGTGCAGAACTGTTTGCTGAGGGGTGTGGTTTACAATACAAATACAAGTTTGCTCCACTTGTCACATTGATCGTGATGATGAAATGAGAGCCTTTAAAACGGCAGTAGAAGAGAAGGGGATGGGGGGAACTTCGCCGACCCTCCTGCTTTTTTGCAAATAGCTCACGAACTTCTGGTTCCATTAGCGTCAAATTCTCAGTAGCGTAGGACGAGGTATTTGGACAGGTGGGGCAATTTGAGCATAGTAGTAATAACACAAAGTACAGAAAATCCATAAGTGGTACATACCACAATAAGACCAATGAGGGAAGTTATCGTAACTAAAAGGGCTGTCATATGAACGGGGTTTAAAGATTCAGGGAATGAAGATGTTGACGCATACTGTAAAAAGTTAATTTCGCAAGTAAAAACGCCCAACACGTCGTCTCAACTTCAATGCAGCTCGAAATCTTACACTGCTAGCGACTAATATAATGTGCAACGGCTTTTGTTGTTCAAAAAGTTACGTAGCCACTAGCCAGCTGCACTAGTGATGCAAAATGTAGAGGGTATTTAATGCTTTGTCTGGGTGCCATAGCATCAAATTACGATTCTGTGTGCTTGAGATAGTTGGAGATCGTTCCCGGCGCCAGAATAGCAGTTTTCATTTTCCCCCATTGACTTATAATGGTGAGGTCACAAAAATGACCTGACCTCATATGACCTTTAGGAAAAATCCGAGATATATAAGTTATGAGACTCGTAATGGATACTAGATCCTGCAAGTTTCATTTCCCTGTGAAAGCTCCTCTGGCAGTGAGGGCGTTGCGAAGTTGCGACATCTGAAGACCGCATGCACAGGTTCACTTATGTTTTTAACTCAATTTCTAGCAATTGTAGACCACGTAACGCAAAACAAAGAACACCATTACACTCCCCATGACGAGCTGTATCGAATCGGTACCCATTTTATGCAAAAATATTAATTTTGAAATTTGACCTAATTTGACCTGCCCTTGACCTGACTTTCACCAGAACATAACCTATACATGCCCCAAAGTCTGCCTGACCCACCGTTAGGCGGCACGGGCGGACATCGATAGCAGCGCCTCTATCGGTCACTAGGGAAAGCTGGGCTGTAGGCGACGATATACCGGCTGAGTTGTCACACGCTGAATAGGTTTATAGCCATCCGTCTTGTGAAAAAGTTGAACTTTTGCCTTTAATATTTCTACAGGCAATTTTAGAAGTGTCTTCACATGGATTACAAAACCGTTTAGATTATTGTATTCACTTCAAGCCTTCCCTATTGTTCTTGATGATGCGGGAACTATTTATAATTAGTGTTTCTAGCTTAGTAAAAGAACATACTGTGCAAACGATGAAAAAAGCATAAATGGAAGATTTTAAATGCAATTTTCTCTAACAATTAATGGTAAATTCTTTACATATCAAGGAAAATGTGCATGCTAACTGATAATTTAAAGTTCTTGGGGCCAGTTGTTTTCTTCTTTTCTTACGTCGCCCCAATGGCCGCGAATACACTTGTGATAACGCCTATCGCATAATCACATTTGCCATGTAAAATGGACCATAAAGCATGCAACACATGATACTTTCATATTGTGACCCTCAGTGACCTGACCTTTGTGACCTGACCTGGTATCAGTGACCTCAAATAGCAAAATATGTGTTTTACGAACAATGCCCCATCGATGATTTTCAAATGACATGGATGTTACTCAATTTTACAACACATTTCTTGAAATGCCTGTAAAAGGTGAAAATTCGACCTTTGACCTGGTCTGTGACGTCATCTGTTTGATCGAGGTCAATGAAATTGGGTCACAAGGTAGTTCTCTGTTGGGGCTATCTAACACCGTTTGCTGCTTGTCGCTATGTTGCGTGGTTCTCGAGATCTTAGGAGAGGGGGGAAATGTCCCCCCCCCCAACGGGGCGCGTTGATCGGCGGACCCCAACGGGTGCGGGTTAACTAAGTTTTGATTAGATCCATTTCGGAACATACAACATGAACATAAGGCTACTCATATTCATTCTATTCATAGATTTGGTCAAAGTGGCTTCGTTTCCCAGATAACCAATTGTGGCCAATGGCGTACAGTTTATAATCTTCATGCGTATTTACATACATCGAATTGGTTAAGCAATGACTTCGGACTGATAATACAACCTGGCCACAACATTGCTGTGTCATCCGCTAGACAAAGGCAAAATTACGAGTTGCGTATATTTGTATTGCCGGGTGAATATACTGAAACCTGAAGCTCCTGCAGCCAAAGTAATGTTTAGACAGCCGAATGCATTTCATAATCAATATAAAATCAGTTGTTTTGACAGGGGGCTATTTATTCATTTCACGCGGTGCGGCCGGTAGAGCGTCAGTAGATCATATAGTCCATTCAGTCGTAGAGCATCAGTATGTTATTCAGTTCACACAGTCCGGTCGGTAGAGCGTCAGTATGTCATTCAGTTCACACAGTCGTAGAGCGTCAGTATGTCATTCAGTTCACACAGTCGTAGAGCGTCAGTATGTCATTCAGTTCATGCAGTCGGGCCGGTATAGCGTCAGTATCTCATTCAGTTCACACAGTCGTAGAGCGTCAGTACGTTATTCAGTTCAGGCAGTTGGGCCGGTAGAGTGTGCATGTCATTCAGTTCACACAGTCGTGGAGCGTCAGTACGTCATTCAGTTCACGCAGTCGTGGAGCGTCAGTTATTCAGTTCAGGCAGTCGGGCCGGTAGGTATAGCGTCAGTATCTCATTCAGTTCACTCAGCCATAGAGCGTCAGTATGTCATTCAGTTCACGCAGTCGGGCCGGTAGAACAGCGAGCGCTGGCAGAGTGGGTGCCACTCCTGTTCGGCCGGGTTGTCGTGCCATCCGACGGCGTGCACGGTACCGCTGTCGTGCGGAACCATCACCACCCGGTCCTCGCCGCGCGGCCCGTAGTTCTCCGGCTGGCCGCTGGCCCAGAACTGGCCGACGGGCACGTCGCCGCACGCGTCGGCGCCGACGTAGTGTCCCTCGTCTCCGGGCACCTCCGTGACGCCCAGCCAGACGAGCTGGCCGGCGGCGGTGCTGTCGGCGCACTGGTTCTCCGCCTCTGTGCGCGGCACGGCCAGGTGGGCGCCCAGGCCGGCGCACATGATCCGAGCCTCGTCGTAGGTGAGCACCCGGTCCAGCCGCCGCAGGCAGTGGCCGGCGCACAGCTTAAAACCGTCCGGACACTCACACGTCGGGTCTGAAACAGAGCAGGGCCGCTCTCAGGCCTAGACGCAGGCCAGGAAACTGGCACGTCGGGTCTTGAACGGAGCAGAGGCCCTCGGAGGCACGGGCACTGACAACAAGTGACCATTTTATCAGGTCACCGCTGAGCTCATTGGAGGTCACCAAAAGAAAAATAACCACTAGCAATGTTAACCCTCAAATTTTAGTCCCTAAGAAAAACTTATTAGACCCAAAGCGGCTATCCCAACAGGGAGAACTCTGCTTGACTGAGCGTCTGTTTTCTGAGGTGACTCTACCGACTCAGACACTCACCGTTCAGAGTTGTTAGAGTCGACTCTACCGAGACCCCGTTCAGAGTGGTTAGAGGCGACTCCACCGAGTCACTCACCGTTCTGCGGAGCGGTTAGAGTCGACTCCACCGAGACACCGTTCAGAGCGGTTAGAGTCGACTCCACCGAGTCACTAACCGTTCAGAGCGGTTAGAGTCGCCTCCACCGAGTCACTAACCGTTCAGAGCGGTTAGGGTCGACTCCACCGAGTCACTTACCGTTCAGAGCGGTTAGAGTGGACACCACTGCCGCCAGCACCATTAGCAGACGCACCAGCACCAGCCCCGCGGCAGCCATGTTTCCGCTGCCTGGATAGACACGTGCAGTAGTCCCAGCTGCTCCTCTTCTCGGCATTTATGTTTGATGAAGAGAGAGCACTCGTCAATTACGAGACGTTGCTTAATTTCTTTTATATACGTTTGGTCTGGTTCCAGAAAAATCAAAATTGAGGCAATTATGATTGTAACGTTTTCGCATTTAAAGTAGTTTTTCGCATTAAGTCTCATTATTTGTCAATACTATGAAAGTAACACAGAAAGCAGGAAAAATCCATGCCGTTGCGGCATTTGTGGACGCCGCCACAGCCAGTCGGAACTTCAAATGTCACGCAGATATGTTGCAGAGCGGATATTCTGCTTACCCTGCCCACAACGCAGCGAAAAATGTTTACAGTAGAGGTAGCAACCGATAAAAAATTGAACCAGACCCGAACCAGACCCGACTGGACATTTCTAAAACCAGTCAGACCCGGTCTCAGTTGGAATCGAACCCAGTTGGACCCGTTCCCCAAAAGTAAATGAATACATACTTTTGTAGGTAGGTATCATTAGTTGCATAAAGTATAACAGACTCTTCCAACTGGGAATACTTACGAGGTACAGTGTGCAGATATCATCACTACAGAACACTCCATTGTCTAGTTAATTGTCGCCCTTTAACTAAAAACATACGTTTGTTCCTTAAATAGTTCGACTTTTCTGAAATTTTTGGCCATTTCTTGACCATGACATATAAGCCGTTTTCACGACGGGCTTTCCGGCGAGCACACCTAATTTGACCAACTCGGCGACGGCACCTAATCTCGTTAGAGCAAATATCTTTATTTTGGCCGTTTTCACGACGGAATAGCAGGCATCTATTTAATCCCCATTTGATCCTTTGGTTCCTCAGGAATTTTAGTAGTTCTTTTTAGTAGGTTCCCCAGCTTTCGAATGAATGGTGCGTTAGTTTGCTATTTTTCTATTAAATATCACATTGATTTACTTTATCTAAGGATTTATCACTAATATCAACATAAAGCGTAAGCACAATTATAAAATTATGAAATTATTAAATACTAGTACAATAGTTAAAAAAAGATACTGAGTTGCCAGGCTACAAAGAATATATTCATTTATGGCGCACGACAGACATTTAGAAAGCAGCGCCCTGTTTTATTGCACGCTGCTAGCCGCTTCCATTGGGTTTTGCAGGCCGTCGTCATTGGTCGTTACACGTATGATGTCACGCGACTTGTGGCCTGTCACGGCTCTTTAATGATCTCCACTAAATGAATGCAACAATGGCTTTTTAAGTTGATCTCTGTGGCCATCTGTCTATGCAGCGACCAATATGAAAGTTGGGTGAATTTACCGGGGTTACATGACTATGAGCAAGCAAATGTGTATCAGGAATGGATTTAGGTGGAGAATTGCGCTGGACCATGAGTGCTCGAACGCTCCCAATTCCACGCCGGTTTGGCTTTGGAGCCGAGACAGACGATGCGGGTCAAGGTCACCGCTGGGGTAACGGTGGATTGGGTGCGCCCGAGCACCCGTAACGCGGCACAATTCTCCATCTATGGATTTTCCTATTCGCTCAGCATTGTGATAGGCGTTCGTAATAGCATTTACTCTGCTCATGTACCTATCCCCGGTTAGTTAAAAGAAGTTTTTGTGGGGGAATATCACGGCTTTAGGTACGGGGACCCGCAGTTGCTTCTGTACACGAACCCCAACTCTAGCCGTCTGTCCCGTCCAGTAACAACCGATAACATTGATATCGACTGCCGGTCCCTGTACAAGAGCAGCTGAGGTTTTCTGTCCGTGCCCTTTGACAGCTTATCGTTGTTCCCTGTGAGGGTGCTGGGACAATTTACTCAGGGTCGCTGTACAGTAGCAACTGCGGGTCCCCGTACTCGGTGGCCCTATTCACGACTTTCAAAGAATGCTCCGATAACTAAACACCGCACAGACCTACTGCATTAGTGAATCTGACAGAATGTCTGTGGAATTACATCCCCCCTCACCACACCCCTAAAAACTCATCCAGTGTCCAAAACCACTTTTATCGACTCGCCAAAAAAAAAAAAAAAACACACACACACACATACACACACAAAGCATGGGGCATGTCAGCTCTCAGTTCATTTATTATTGTCTTTACCATGGTTCAATTGCATTGCGCGATTTAAAGCACGTGAGTGCCTATATAGTATATATGTAGAAAATAATATCTACAGCAAAACATCCAAAATTACAAAGGCTACAATGCTTAAAAAGTAGGTTCATCAAGGAAGCCCATTTTTACTTGCGTTGTGTTGCCAACCATGCGATTCCAACGCGGGCTATTCGCAACGTCTGTTAAGGCACGTTAACAACTGACAAGCCGCCACCGCTGCCACTTATTCATAGATGGTTGATATCGCAGCTTGGGCGTCAGCAGCGCGGCCCACAACGCGTCGGCGCCAGCGCACGCAGCTGTTGGCACTCGGCAGCCGGTGTTGCGACTTAACGGCCGGCCGGCCCCATGAAGGAGAAGCTCTTGGTGAAGCTTTGTGATCGCCTCATAGCCGCCTTGGATGTCATCTTTCTTGGCAGATCCATCCGTTCAGATGGTACGGTGCAGTCTGGATAAAGGACGAAGTCCAACGCCGCTAACCCCGCGACCGCCACCCCACAACGTGGCCGCAGACCGAACGGGCGTGAGGGCCGTAAGGGCCACCCCGCCATCCGGTAGGTGGCTGAGCAGCCGGGCGCAGCGGCGCCTGGGCGGCGGCCGCGCTGAGATGAAGTCCCAAACCGCCATGTCGCCATCACCGCCATCACCATTGCTGCAGCTGTTCCCAACCGCCTCAATCGCCGCCGTTTTGCCAGCAGTCGCGCCGCGGAATGGCAGAAGCTCCAGAGTAGCCTCCAGCGCCCCTCTCCGCACGTGTGCAGGTGCACTGCGGCCGCCGGGTCCGACGTCCAGGCAGAACATGATATGTCCATGCTGCTCCGACGGTGGGCTGGTCTTGTTTGGGCGTTCCTCCACTGTGACGTCGGTCACGCCTGCCCCGGCCAGGGCGCAGAGGCCGTGTCACCATCCGGTTGCAGTCCTCAGTCGGGTCGCAACGTGTACCTCTTCCGCAGCGTGGAGCGCGCTCCCGCTGGGCAGCGATACAGCCAAAAGTAGCATAGCATGCGGGCGGCCAGCGCTGCGCCGGACAGCGGACCCATGCCGGGGGTATGCCGGTCTCGGCCATTAGCGGGGTCGTCGGGGCCGAGGCTGTACATACAGCTGGTGACCGCGTGAGCCGCCAATCGAAGCTCACGGCTTATAAGCTCGACGCGGGCATCACACGCCGTCCCGATGGGAGCTCCACGACGCCGCCGCGAACTCCAGCGCGGCTCGCAGCGCGAAGACCAGTACGGACGGCCGGGGCAAACGGCGTGCGGGAGTCGCAGGCGACGTTCTGCGGACAGAAAGGGTTGGGCATAAGCTGGTCGGCAGGACACTCTTGAGCCGAGCCTTTGATGTAATTACAGATGATCCAGAAGCATGCACAAAAATTCATGACACACTATTCTCATTTATGTATTTGCTACATATGATATGATATAGGTACCAGCTCATGATCAGTGACGCATTCTGGGCAATATGTTCTAAAGTGAAGTAACTGAAGTTACAGCTTAAAAGCTTAAAAAACAGCTTAAAAAAAAAAACACACACACACACACATTCGATAGCTTATGAGAATAACATGTCTTGTGTGCTTAATACGGGAAAATATTTTTTTTTCACTTTTTTAGAAACAGCAAAAGAGTTGTCAACAAGCCATGTCAACTATCTAAACAATTTTTATGGAAACTGCTCTAGCTAGCTTAAAGTTCCACAACGTTTCCGGAGCACCGTACCCAAACTCAGTTCATGTTACAAGAAAAAAAACAGTAATAATGCCTCCTAATTTTGAATGAAATATAGGTATGAGTAATTTGATTTGGAAAGCAACAAATTTCCGCACATCATTTTAGCAAAATTACTATTTTCTTCAGCCATCAGGTTACACAAAACTATAGAAAACTTTATGATCTAGTTTACAAAAAAACCAAAGCCCCGATTTTAACAAATGTAGATAAAATTTAAACAATTTTAAAAAATGTATCGTGGAGAAAATGAAAAGTGTAGATTTGTAAAGCCGGGATATTTCAATTTCACGGATTAGGCACTTAAAGAAATATCTTCACCTTTCTTTGAGCCACCAGCCTTCACCCAGGTTTTACACGAATGTAGTGAAGCAGACAATGTGGCAACTCAAAATTGTGATGGTTTGAGATAATTATGACGGTAAAAGAAAAAGCAACACAAGGTTCCTTACCCTCGTTTTTTCACATGGGTTCAGATGAGGCTTCAACTGTTGCCGACCTGAGGAGCTATAGGGACTTGAGCTTTCCAAAACTCAATTTCTAAGGGCACTGAGCAGTGTTTGGCTTTCACACGAATGCGATAGTAAGTTATATGAAGTTGACAAAGCAAGCAAAGCAAAGCATGATGCCCCGCGCGTCCGCCCGCGACCACGCCCCGCGTCCGACTCCCGACCGCCGCGTGACCCGAGGCGCCCGGCGGTCACGTGACCTACCGGCCGGGACTGCAAACGGCCTTCACCACCATTCTTGTATGACGTCATATCCTACTGAGGTGCTGATTGGTCGGAATTAGATACCTGAAGGTAATTATCTGCCGTAGTTATTTTTGTTTCATTGTTTTCCGTGTTTTCTTATATGAAATGTAATTAAAAAAATTGTCATATTTTAATCACCATTAAAACATAACTGAATAGGTATAAAAGAGAACTCGATATATACTTTCCTTGTTTTTAAGAATTCCGGAATTAGATACCCGAGGGAGCAAAGAGGGAGCAAGTTGCCACGCTAATTTAATACCTCATAGTCGAAAGGTGGGCTACTAGAACCAAAAATTGCTGTGTTTGTAAATAAATAAGTGATTTGAGGGCAAAAAATGCCCAGATTTAAACTTCTAAAATTATTTTGAACATAAAATATTTCAGTTTGAGGGATGTTAAGGCCTCTAAGGGTAGGTACTTTTTAGGTATC